ACTAATGAGAAAAGAAGTGAGAAAACTCAATCATGTTTTTCGCAAATTAGTTCTAGGAAAATAGTGATTCTAAATTCGTTAAGTATTGGATTTAGTTAGGATTGATGTTCTTTATTTGCTCTCGATTGTTATATTTGTTGTCATATATTTATTATTGCTAGCTCCTCAAAGATTCTTATAAGTTGTAATATTATATATGATGCGCGTTGGTTGTTATTGTGTTTTTGTGTTAATTTTTATTAGTGATATTAGAGCAACAATGAGAAAAAATCGGAGAAAACCATTCACTAGTGTAAAAAAAGTTAGAAAATTCATTTTCGATTGTTGTGATACTAATTGTGAGTGAGAAGTCTCACATTTCATTAAAAAATTGGAGGTTAAACACTTTTTTTAATAAGCGAGAGAACACATAAACCTAATGTCTTACGGTTTTGAATAAATATATAATGTCTCTCTCATTTTTTTTTATTCTTTTAATTTCGCTTTTCAATATAATTAATTAAAGATATTTTTGTAAAGTTATAGATCATTTCAATTTTTTATATAATAATTATTATCTTTTATATGAAATATTCAAAATCTTTTATAATTTAAAATAAAGTATGTAGACATTGACTTGTATTTGAAAAGGAGAAAAAATTATCTTAATAATAAAATAATTAAATTATTTAGAATGTGTGAAGTTGAAATTGTAGATCATTTATTTGGGAATGATCCTTGATGTCCAATTATCATAAATTTTCTATGAAAAATATGTTTTCATAAATAATATTTAAAATTTTATTTTATCAGTGTTCAAACCTTAAAATCGAAATTTCGATTTTAATGAACCACAACGTCTCAATTTTCAGCAAATACAAATAGTTTATAATAAAAATATATATAAAAATATCTAATTTGGCAGTTGTTTGCCAATAAAATGCATTCATATTTTGATTATTTTTTACTTGAAATAATTAACTGTTGTCTAACAGTTATGTTTTTTTAATAATTATTTTAATAAAATTTAACCATTAAAACAAATATTTCACGATGAATGTGGCAAAGAAAACAGCTATTTTTTGAAGTTACAACAATTAAAAGAATTTCCTTAGAATAAATTTAATGTCACTATATTAGTAATGAATTAAGCATATCTGACATACACGTTTGTGAAATGTTGGGAATTGAGCTTATTCGATTCTTTGTGTATATGTCAGGCCTTACAGCATTCCAATAAAGTTTGAATATGGAATCTCTTGCTCAATCATTTGTTGTCCCTGTCCCATTTTATGCAAATATTTTAGAAAAAAAAAGAAAGATTTTGTTATTAATAGTTCAAATCTTTGCGTGTTTCTTGATCATAAAGAAACTGTTTATACTTAGTTTTAAGGTATCGCATTCACAACAATTTACACCAGCAAAAACTAGTAAATATCATTCATAGCAAACAATGAATAGAATTTCAGAAAAGGGTAGATAAAAGTCCTACGTCGTTTCTCAATTAAAAACTTTAATAGTTATATAACTTTAAAAATGTTTTAGTAATCTATGATCACTTGTGAATTGAATTGTTTATTTCTAGGCTTTGGCTTAGGCCCATCAACATTCTTTTAAAACTTAAACTAAACAATTTCAAACTATTCTTATTAAAAATAAATTTTTTGTCTTAATCACGTCATAAAATTTCTTTAAAATTGAGGGACTTAAAATTTTAAAACATAAAAATAAGAGACCAAAAATACATTTAAACTTTTAATTTATTATTTTCTCACCCTACATTAATTATAATTTAAATATATTAATAGTTGATCAATAATAGTTTAATAACATCATTATTTTTTCTCTTTTATTTATTATATTTTTTTAATATGAGTGAGAGTGTCAAATATGACCCTAATTTATTATATATTTTTAATATGGTTGAAAGTGTCAAACCCTAATTTATTATATATTTTTAATATGGTTGAGAGTGTCAAACTCTAATTTGAGATGAAGGGAGTACTATTTAATTCCAACATTTATGTAATGCCATGATCGACAATGAAAGTACACATAACACAAATGAATAAACCGTGAAACAAACCCTAACAGTGTCACAGTGTCGTGCTTATTGATCTTGACGGTAAAGAGTGACACGTTAACTCTCCATGCATTCAACAAAACGTGTCATCTTTTCTGTTACACCCTATTGGTTGATGCGCATCTCTTTCTGTTTTTCACTTTAGAGTTCACTCAAATTCACCTAACAAAAATAACTTAACCAGATTCTCTGACATCAACTTTCGCCATACAACAGGTTTTTTGTGTGAGTGAGAGAATCATTGTTCAAAAACTGAAGAAAAATAACAATGGCCATGATGATGAGCATGATGGTTGCACTTAATTTCACATCTGATGTGGAAAAAAATATGGCTCATGATCATGCACAGGTTGTTTCTATAACACTCTTTGTCGTTGTTCTTTGCCTATGTTTACTCATTGGTCACTTGCTTGAAGAAAGTCGATGGGTTAATGAATCGATCGTCGCCATTTTTGTTGTAAGATCCATACTCATTATGAAATCTAGAATTTCTATTTCTGTTAATATTGTTGTCTCATCATAAGTCATGTTGTTAATCATGAACGTGTTGGTGTTCGACGCTGACACATATGAGACACCAGACAATTCTTTGTTCAGAGGTCTCGGTGCTAATATACTTTTTGCCTCTAACATGTTCTCTTTGGTAGGGATGCATTGCTGGACTGGTTATATTGTTAATAACTAAGGGAAAAAGTTCTCGAATTCTTACCTTTAATGAAGAAGTATTCTTCATATATCTCCTTCCTCCTATAATATTTAATGCAGGGTAAAACTTTCTCTCTTGTCTTAGACTTGAAGCATCTCTTGACATTCCAAAATTTGATGTTTTTGACTTATCTTTTCAAACAGATTTCAGGTGAAAAAGAAACAGTTCTTCCATAACTTTTTGACCATCATGCTGTTTGGAGTGGTCGGTGTTTTCATTTCAACATCTATTATTACTGGTGGTAATGACTAATGACTACTCTTTTAGTTTTTCTCTTTCGTTAAACTTGTAGCGTTATCATTACGATAATTTTCATGGATTCACCTTACATTTGGTTCACGTAGGCAGCTGGTGGCTGTTTCCCAAGTTGGGTTTCTCTTACCTGACGGCGCGAGATTATCTTGGTAAAATTAATTGCATCATCTCAATATTATGCAAAAACACATAGTATTTTTAATCGGTTGGTATGTTTCAGGTGTAATCTTTAAGTTGGACAGTAGTATTCAAATATAAGTTTTAATCTTAAATCCTAAGCTTGAATTATAGAATGGTACTGCACAGTCACTGTATAGTAGGAAACGTCGGTACAATTTGCAGAATTTTGTGATCAAATTTCATGTGTTTTTTGTTTGTGTTTTTCTTGTTTACTTTCTTTTGAATTAGAGTTGTTGTTATATAAATAAGGATTAAAAATCAATATATACATATTTGGATAACAATTTTCTTATCTTAATTTGATTCAGCTTCAGGAGTAATTTTCTCCTCAACCGACACAGTATGTACGCTACAGGTTGGTTAGATTTGTGAATAGCTTTATCCATTTAATTATATTTCCACATGATCTTAGTTTCAACACTGCATTTGGAGGCTGTTGTAGGTTCTTAATCAAGAAGCTACTCCTTTACTATACAGCTTAGTCTTTGGGGAAGGAGTGGTAAATGATGCAACATCACTTGTACTCTTCAATGCAGTTCAACAGCTTGATGTTTCAAGACTTAATGGAAAGGCACTCCGTGTTATTGGTGATTTCTTGTATCTATTCGCAGCAAGCACTGCGCTTGGAGTCATAGTGAGTACTGTTAAATGAGCATCGTAGGCAACAAATGACCAAGACATGATTTTTCAAGTGTTATTAGCTGAATTCACGGCTTCCTATATAATTTTTTATTTAGTCGATTGCATTATGCTCGTAGTTTTATCTTGGGAATTCATGTTAACTTCGATGAATTCTTTTTTATGCAGGCTGGACTTGTCACTGCATATATCTTGAAAGCGTTATCCTTTGGAAAGTATGTACATTTTTCTCTATAAGCTCTCTAAAAATAATATTTAAAGATTGATCTGAAATGTAAACATCAAAGTTCGACAATCCCATTTCATATTCTTGAGTTATGAAGGTGAAAATTTGAGGACAAGTTAACAAGTTTTCCCCTGCATATGCATGCAGACACTCAAGTGTTCGTGAAATTTCAATGATGATGTTAATGGCATATCTATCCTACATGTTGGCAGAGGTATTGGATGCTCACTATTTTGTCTTTTATTGATTTCAAACCAGTTACAAGCCTAAAGAACTATGGCCCAGTTTGAATAAACAACTTAGTTAAGCACTTAAAAAATAAGTGTTTATTAAATACTAGTAAGCTCTTATGTATAAGCTATTTCTACAACAAAAATAAGTTGTTTCATAAGTTCCATATAGGGTCTATTTAGATGGACTTATTTGAGCTTATGTAGTGACATAATTTTGTGAGATTGTTTCGGAGAATTTATGAAAACAATTTAACTTTATTTTATCTTTTACTGTAGAAATACCTTATGTAAACTTATATGTAAGTGTTTATCAAGATAACTGCTTTTTCTATAAGCTGCAAATAAGTTATTTATCAAATTTTTATACAAGTACTTATAATGGCAGAAAAATTCAAATAAGTTTGTCAAAACAGACAGTCATATAATTTAGAGATTTTTGCTTTTTATTAAGTTTAGATACTTTTTTTTTCACTGTCCATCTAAACCGAAAATTCTTATACAGCTACTTGAACTAAGTGGAATCCTCACTGTTTTCTTTTGTGGAATATCAATGTCACACTATGCATGGCATAATGTGACTGAAACTTCAAGAACCACAACCAGGTATTTGGTTAGTCCATGGTAGAGTTTAGTAATCTCCCGACTTATGGTCTTGGTTTTTGATTTTGGTTTCTCTTCTCCGGGCATGTGTTTGCAACAATGTCGTTTATTGCAGAAACTTTCATATTTCTTTATGTGGGTATGGATGCCCTTGACATGGAAAAGTGGAGGATGACCCATTTAAGGTACTATACTTGTCTATGACTCTGTACAATTAAGTGTATCTTTGGTTCTGCGATGACTAAAACTGATTTTGAATAAAGTAAATTTGTAAAATAGATAATTGCGAGATTCATTGCAACATAAATATTTTCTTGTCAACTTCATTGCAGATTTGGAAATTTGTTGGGAATTTACAATTGCTTAATCTTCTTAATATTGCTCGGGAGGGGTGCATTTATTTTCCCCCTCTCCACACTTGTCAATTATATGAATAGGCGCGTCGAAGAAATACCGAGTATCACATTACAACACCAGGTTACTATTCCTATTTTATATGATAGTCTTGTAGTGTCACAGTTATCTATGAGAAAATAGTTTTTTAGATTGGTTTCTTGTGTTTTGTGAATGATGCAGATAATCATTTGGTGGGCTGGACTAATGAGGGGTGCAGTCTCCATCGCTTTGGCTTTGTGAGTGTAGCATAATGAGTACCATTGAATTTTCATTTTTTTTGTTTATGCAGTTCACGTTCTCTGGGGTTACTTCAGATCCGGTTAAAGCGACAATGATTACCAACACCATTATTGTTGTCCTTTTCACCACACTGGTGAGTTTTTTTTCTCCATCGATAGATTTGATAGATGAGGATTGTCTAGATTTATATATTCTCAATTTAGGCCATTATTTTATAAATCGGACTAGAAATCAGACCGTTATGGTCTCATTTTTAAAACAATGGTCTAAAGTGAGACATCAGTTTTTTCCTATAAGCTCTTAATCTTAGTAGCAACCGATAACGAGTTAGAAAAGTTCATGATGGAGCTTCAAGCAAATTATCTTTTCATTTTTAGAATGTTTCAATATCACCAAAATGATGGCATTGCAGGTGTTTGGTTGTCTCACAAAACCACTTGTTAGATATCTTCTTCCCCACCATGTAACAAGGATAGACACCAGACATGAAGAATCATCAGGGTCGCGGTCACCAGTTGGGGAGTTGGATCTACCCTTGCTATCCTTTCATGAGTCAATAGAAACCAACATTAGCCGAGCAAAGGAAAGCCTATCTATGTTAATAGAAAGTCCAATGTACACCATACATTACTATTGGAGGAAGTTCGATGATACCTACATGAGACCTATATTTGGAGGACCTTGCTCTAACCCTGACCCTTTAGAGTGCTAGCAAAGCAATTCAACAAATCATATTGGATATCTAAGAGATGCACTTGAAAGTTGGAAAACAAATGATGATCCACTTTAATCCAGTTTTGAAGATTAAGTGGCTTCAACGCGCATTCAACGCCACTGTTTTAGAATTCTTGTTATTGAGTGAAAAACATTCTGTTTCATGATATTTTAGTACATCAAATAACTATGCAAAGTTTAATAGATAGGAAACTGATACATCATACATCTTGCATACATACATGGAAAAGGTACTCAAATTGAAAAGCAACTAATTTATTTGAAGGGGTAGGCTAGAGGATGCTTAATTAACCATTTCTAAGATAAGTGATTCTCAATAATTGCTTCAAGTCCCTGCAAAATAAAGAAGAACATGTCACAAAACACTGATTAGAAGTATAATTTTGAGGTTAATGATTCACACTTTTATCTGTGTTGCTGTTAGGTTTAATGATTCACACTCTAATTTTTATTCAGTTGTTTGTTTGATTAATATAGAAAAGTTAATCCCTTATTAGAAGTATAATTTTGAGGTTGAATATTAGGGGCATGGTTTTGGAGTAATTTAAGTGGGTGATTTTGGCTCTGGTGTATATGTGCTTTTGTTGTCAAATCTACACCAGAGGGTGATTTTTATAATATGTGTGTTGCAAGAATTTGATATTCAATTCTATAGCTTTCACATGGACAAAGGAGAATCAGAGTGATGGGAGCGATTAGTTACAGTCTTAGAACACTTATGATATACTTCTCTCATCACTATTTAAGATTTTATATGCACTGGTTGCAAGAATTGTTCTATTGACAAGCACAAACCAGTTTTTTTTTGAACTTGTATGCTGTTGTGGTAGAGTTAGGACTAATAGGATAGCAATATACCCTACAAAGTCAGGCTGAATGTTACAGAAAAGGCTTGATTCAGTTTTGCTTGTGTTTCTTGCCACCGACCAGAATGCGCTGGATTTGAAGTCCTCGGCTGAATGCTTGGTTGAGTAGAAGCCTAGTTTGGAATTCTTAAACAAATGGGAACCATGCCAGTATGACCACTGGTGTAAATATAACCACTTCCATTAGGTATTCGTAGCCCTAGCTAAAGCTTTAACAGACCCCCACATTCCAGTACCTTTCACCAATGGCCTGCATGCTTGTGCTATCTGCATAGTAAAACACCGCGCGCCCGTTAGAAACAAGTGATTTTACATTTGTATTTGCATTACGACAATGAATAAAGAGACTTAAGTACCTGTATAATTGCCCATGTTGTTGGCAAAAAGGCCAAAAGGCTGGCAAAGATGTCTCCGATAATGAGGCTAAGAAGAGTAAACATCAGGGCCAGGCAAACAACGACTCCAATAAACAGAAACACTTTGAGAAGACGAAACATCAACTGGAAATCTGCGCTGAATGTTGTAGATTGGTCTTGGTCATCAGCTGTCATCCTTTGGTGCTAGCAGTTGTGTGCAGAATTCTTTATTGCATTTGAAAATTGAAGTTGTTCTGATATCTTTGTCTCCAAGGTGTTTGTGGTTCGTGGTTTTATTCCTTCAGTTGGCTTTGGTTCCGTTGCGGAAGTTGCTTCGCTGCAGGTGCTATTGGAATTTAGGGTCTGTGTTTGTGATTAGTAATGTATGTAAGGAAACTATGGGGAGGGAGGATTTGACTATGACAACACTAAATATTTTGAGATTAAACAAAGTCTGTACTGTGTTAGGTTTTAGAGATGTTTCTACTGATGTCGTGCTTATAAGAAAATCGCTCATGAACAACCGAGATACAAGCATTGTTGATTATCTCTACATGATTCAAAGCACTTAGATAAAACTAAATGTTCTTGTGAAGTTGGACAATCATCTGGTACTTCTGATGGATCGTCATGACAGGTCCTAGTTGCTATCAGTCATGACAGGTCCTTTATCACTGGTTGAATTCACTTTAGTGTCTTAGAAATATAAGTTTATCAACTTCTAGTTACTGGCTGTTTAGTTTTTTTGCTCATGCTAATGTTTGGTATCAGTCATGACAAGTTTTGAAAATGCTGTCATTCCTGCACACCGAATCACAAACATTTTCAAGTTTTGTGATCTTCCGCTGCCAAGTATAAACTCGAGTTGATAAAGGGCTGTCAACCAGTGTTGAATAATGCTGTTTACACTCCTGGCCATATACGTATCTCCCTCCAAACACCTGAAAAAACTGCTAAATATGACAGAAAATAATTCCATTTCCATCAAAGCCACCAAATAGAGCACCGAAACAAAACGGGACTGGAGATGGACCGCCAAATTACGTCGATCAAGCTCAGCTAGAGATAGCCAAGATTTGGTAATAACCAATTCCAACGAAATGCCCTGACCTAGCAAGTACTAGCTCCAGCTGCAGCGCAATACCAATATTAAACATGCCACCAACATTAAACCTGTAGGATACATTAGACACAACCAACATGATCCAACTAGTAAACTTTGTAGGAAAACCAAGTTCTTTGAGGATGCATTCCAAAGCAAACCAGTCCACTGTGTAGTATGCATTTAGTATTAGCTGAAGCAAGGTTAGTGTAATTAAACAGCAATTTCAGAAACTTCAACAACAATTTCTATTCATTGGACTAAAGAATATCAGAAAGTTGTTTTGGATATAATTAAAGCAGGAAAGGTTGTTAAATCAAGCAATGCGTCTAGATTTTCAGCTTTGTTATTTGCCACTCGCGCGAATGATATAGAGGCTTTGAAAAAACTCATTGAAAACAGAAACATAAACCTAGATGAGTAAAATGAGGATGGATTTTCAGCTGTCATGATATCTGCTTCAGAGGGTAACGTGGAGGCTTTCAAGTTGCTTCTTCATGCTGGAGCTGATGTAACCAATCTTAAAAACAAACATGGTTTAACAACTCTTGATATCATAGATTTGAAACAAAATGGTGAAAATGTTCATAAGGTGATGGATAAGCGTTATCGTCCTTATGATCCTTTCATCCTTGCGCAAAATGCAAGACAAGTGTATTTTAAAAACATGGTTTAACAGCTCTTGATATCACAGTTTGTATACAGTTTTGATAATCTGTGACTGTTACTAGGGCAATAGGGTTATGTTATGAAATTATCATTTGGAATTGTCACTAGGGAATTATCTTTGTAATCACAGTTTGTATACAGTTTTGATATTATCATTTGGAATTGGTAATTGTTATGAAATTCAATGCATACAATTATGAAATTCAATGCATCACTGATTGTTATCTTACCCTAGGGCTGCTATCAGTCATGACATTCAATGCATACACATGACATACACAATACGAAAACAGCCTGCTGAAACCTACTAATAGCCCAAGCATCATGAAACTTAACACTTCCTCAATTTCACTAGTTAATAGATTAACTAAACATTTCAAACTGCTAACAATTAAAACATACATCTGAACCACATTCCATGACAGTTCAAACTAATTTCAAAATACACAGTAGAAAAATTAGCACACTAACTCTGAAGAAAAGACTAAATGTTTCTGTCATGACTTGACTCACCTCATTCGCCATTCTCACTTCATAATTTTAAACTCATAACATAGTTTTGAATCTTACCTACTAACTCCTTAACTGTCCCAACAGATCCCTAATTGTTGAGAGGATTCATTTCCTCATTGTTAATTGTTGTTATCTTACCCTAGGGCTGCTATCAGTTATGACAGGTCCTTTATCACTGGTTAAATTCACTTTAGTGTCTTAGAAGTATGAGTTTATCAACTCCTAGTTGCTGGTTGTTTAGGTTTTTTGCTCATGCTAATGTTTGGTTTGTAATTGTTTGACAAGTTAGTAAACTATCATTAAAACAATATAAGGATTTAGTGCTTGATTGATTGGCATTGTGATGGCCAAGTTCCTACTGTCATGACAAGTTAGTTACGGTAGCGACTTTTGCAGTTCAACTTTCGGTAGCGACTTTGAATCAAAAACTACAATAAACTCGTCAGTTTGTTACGCAGAATGAAACTAAGACTGATAGCCATGTTTGGAATTAGATTTTTGGTTAGGTTGTTAACTTTTAAGAGAACTAGGCTGTTGAAATGTATGGCATTGAGGATCGATATTGTTGTGTGGAAATAGTGATTGGAGCTTACCAGATCTTGGTGCATTGCTGCTTTAGGGCTGGCGTATTCATACTAAGGTTTGTTTTGTATTTATTGTGACAAATTGATGACTGCCTTGAGGGCTTAAAGTTGTTGCTTTAGTTTATAACAGACTGAGTGATACAAGTCCTCAACTATCTTCTGCCATTCAAAGAAG